CTCTCAACGAATGTAGTCCTGTAAATAAATGAATAAAGAAATTGTGTAATAAAATGCCTCTGGCGGGACTCGAACCTGCGACCTCTCGCTGTCAAGGCGAGTGTCATAACCACTAGACCACGGAGGCTTCATGGTTGAACAGATTCAAATACCACCAGATACACTCTATTACACAGAGGCATTTTATTACACAATTTATTGCACCTATTTGTTTCTAGCCGTACCTATTGTGTAATAGAGTGTATCTGGTGGTATTTGAATCTGTTCAACCATGAAGCCTCCGTGGTCTAGTGGTTATGACACTCGCCTTGACAGCGAGAGGTCGCAGGTTCGAGTCCCGCCAGAGGCATTTTATTACACAATTTCTTTATTCATTTATTTACAGGACTACATTCGTTGAGAGGGAGTCCTATTGTTTGTCATGCTTTTTATTTACAAAATCCAAATATAAAATGATATACGGCTTTTAAGAAATTATATGATTGTTAGATGCCACCATTTATTTACAGGTTTTCATTTATCATTTATTTTATTAAGAAAATTATGATCCCTAGTATATATATATATATATATATATGGTCATGGTTTTATTTATTACAAACATATTCTTTCACCATCAATACAGATTTAGGCCCTTCTTAAATGTTCCTTCTATTTGAGTTGGGACTATTATGTGTTCAATAACTTAGAAGGTATAGGACAAGCACATGTTGTTACCCTCAAAATGCGCGCGAAGCGCGCAAAATTTTGGAATAATTTCGATACTGATATACTGATTATAAAACCAAAAAATCATTCAGAAATTATTTGAATACATTTTACTTAGCTAGTTATCAAAAAAGTACTGAGTACTAATAAAGTCTTATTGCGCAAACTACACATATTTTTTTTTCTATATTACCTATTATTATTATTATTATTATTATTATTATTATTATTATTATTATTATTATTATTGTTATTATTATTATTATTATTATTATTATTATTACTACTACTACTTTATGTACTTCAAGTGTATTTGTTTGTTTTTTTTTGTTTTGTTTTGTTTTCTTTCTAATTTGTGGTCACTGTGAGACAAGTCTTGCTTCTAATTCTGATCCCAGTAATGGTCTTATTATTATTATCATTATTATTGAACATAAAAAAGTTTATTATGTATTATGTACTTCATAGTATCTATTACTATAATTATTGTAATTTTCTTCTGCTTTTACCATTATGCAATAAATGTTATTGAATCTGAATCTGAAAGTTAAACGATCTACCTTTCTTGTGTTTGAAACTACTAAGCCTATGTGTTTAAATAACTTAAAAGGCAAACCCTAAAAAGTGTGCCAAAAATTTTGTGTTTTTAATTCTGATTTTGTCGGAATTAATCAAAACTCCCTAAACATGTGCAATTTTATGAGGAATTGGCCTACTTAAACAAGAAATGCGCGCGAAGAGCGAAATGAGAATATCTGGCAGCTTAGATCAAAGGAGCTATTAAAAAAATCCTAAAAAAATGCTCGCGAAGCGCCCAAAAAAAATGTGTTTTGAATTCTAATTTCGTCGGAATTGATGAAAACTCCCTAAAATGTGCAGGTTTTAGAGGAAATTGGTCTACTTTAACAAGAAATGCACGCGAAATCTGATATTTTTGGGTATTTCAGGGGGAAAGGGCATCTTCAAAGAGTGGAAAAATATTTTCCCCTTGTCCCCCGGTGGCTACGCCACTGCGGAAAATATCTGGCGTCTTAAGGTAGATTCACACCGAATCCGAATTCGGTCCCTAGAACGTTTTCGATGCGCGTCTTAGTACGCGCCTCTATTCTTTACCACTGACTCGATAATATTCTCTTTTCGTTTCGTTAGCCATACGAACCGAATTCGTCTTCGGTGTGAATGCAGCTTAAATTTCAAAAAATGCGTGCGAAGCGCGCAAAAAAAAATGTTTTTTTAAAAAAGTGTTTTTAATTCTAATTTCGTCGAAATTGATCAAAACTCCCTAAAATGTGCAATTTGTAGAGGAAATTGGCTTACTGTATGTATCAAGAAATGCACGCGAAGCACGCGAAATTTGAGATTTTTAGGCACTTCCAGGGGATAAAGGGTATCTTCAAGGGTTGGGGAAAGATTTTCCACTGACGGATATTTTCCTCTTGTTTCCCGGTGGTTACGCCACTGCATAGAATATCTGGCGGCTTATAGATCAAAGTAGCTATGGACACTTGAAGTAAAAAAGGGGTTGCAGGGTGTTGTGAGTCTGGTCATTATATCTTCCTTTTTATTCTTGTCTTTATTTTTCTCTTCTGTTTTTCTTTTTCTTTTTCCTTTCCTTTCCTTTTCCCCTTCTTTCTATTTTGCTCCCTCTCCCCTCTTTCTTTTCTCTTATACCCAGCCCGATACGACAGCTTGGTCAGCCTGGTAAAAACCGGTAGGGGGCATTCTGCCTCTGCTCCCCCCGGCTGTTACGCCACTGAGCAGACTCTATTAACGACTGTCGCTAACCAAATATATAATCAGCAGATTGGAGGAAAAACATAAGTCTATATGATAGTCAGTTTAATGAATTCTGTAGTTTAATAAGCCTATTTCATATATATTTTATAGTAGGCCTAGTAGAATAAAGTTGGGGCTAGGAATATATTTCCAATATTATCTAAATGGGGTGTTCTCCACCAGAAGACAATTTAACTTTAAGGAGCTCCCCTCCCCTACGCTCACATCTGGGGGTGACAGAAGTATTGTAACAGTTTATATATAATATCGAATCCTTGAATATAATATAAATTTGTCAGTATTTTACATTTTGTAAGGTATTGTGTTTCAAAAATAATGCTTCAACTGGTAGCCTTTTTCAAAATTATGAATTATTTCATGGTATTGCTTATAGTATATATTATGGAAATATTTTGTATGAAATTATGAAATTGAATAAAAATATTTTAATATTTATTATTACTGTATGACTTTTTCCAAGTATTTGCCATTATTGTGTATTAGGCCTAACATCACGTTATAGCCTATTTTTTTTTTAATATATATATATATATATATATATATATATAAAACAAGGAAAATAAAATATTTAACAGATGCATTATTACAGCATATGCTAGGCATAGTCCATTGTAGATTTAAATTAATTGTATTCTTAAATTAATCGGTAGATTGATTGATAAGGTTTTGGTATTATTAATATGTAGGCCTATAGGCCCATACTATTTTTTATAAAATATTTATCAATAGTGTTTGATAATTCAGTTAACACCAATGTTTTACCTCAAGAATGAATATGTTTATGGTATAAAAACTTACTGCAACTTGACCACTGGCCTCCAGGATTTCTTCAAAGTTGCCACCAGTACTGTAAAGAACTTCATATGACGTCACCCACTGATCTGTATCCTGTCGACCTTGTGTAATCAGTCTGGTGACTTTCAACAAAGATCCAAGGTGGGCTTGAATCCATTGATTTTGGTCTTTGAAATTAGCCACCCATGATCCATAACCAATGCCGGACCCGAGTACAGTATTCAGTCTTCCACGATCAGCTCTATGGTTATTGTCGATTTCAGATGATGCTGTCAGTTGAATTGTTCCGTCTTCTATTCCAAGAGGATGAACGCAAGGCTCTACAAATAATGAAGTTATGTTGCAATTCGAATTGAAATATACGTTTCGCTACTCAGCGTTTTTTTTGTTTTTGTTTTAACAGTTGGATTCAATACTTAAAATATTAGGCCAATTATGAGTTATTGTTAACGTTAATTAATAATAGTAAATTCCTAATATTTCGTTCGGTGTTATTCACGATTCAAGTTTTCTCTATTGTCGATGTCATGTCATTTTAAAATAAAACTAGATTCAAATATAATGAAATACATAAAAAAATAATGCTGTGATTGCACAAAAAACAGTATGGCATGTTTTATCTTTTAAAATTATTAACCATGAATTAGCATACAAACTATGAGTTTACTGATTTTTTTACATTTTATTTAGAGATTAAACCTTTTTAACGTACATTTCTGTCTGGTTCACTCATTCACTTAAAAAAATAGAATAACACACATAAATAGATCTGTGTCATTTTAAGGACATTCCCCGCACTATTCAAATCGTAACGGTAACCAATGCCAGGCTCATATACAGTATTCCTCCTCCCGCGATCTTGGTCTATGGCTGTTGTCATATTCAATTGATGCTCTCAGTTGATTTGGAGGAATTGTTCCGTCTTCTACCCCAAAAGGGTGAACGCAAGGATCTAAAATATTGATGTTGACTTATTATGTTTTAATTCAAATTTAAATCTACGCTTTCCTGTCAGATTTAACCCTTGAAATATTATGCATATTGACTTATTGTTAACCGTAATTAATTACTGCGTTCTGTGTTATTCAATATTCTAAATTCCAATATAATTGTCAATATCATAACCTGATTTATTAAAATTCTTCTCCTCTTGGATATAAAACAAGAATAAAAATTACAATTATAAAAATAATAAAATATATAATTTGAAATGAAAAAGAAATATAATTAACCGTGCAATGCTTTTAAGTTACATGAGTTGTGAATAAAAAAAAAATCTCAAGGTAATAAGATTACCATGAGATAAGATGTAGCAGAATGATGATTCCTCGGTACACTAGCGAATTAATTGTCGATAAAGGAATTCGTGTAGTATATCAGATATTACTGAAAATATCTTTAAGAATTCAAACTAATTAAATGTTACCTTTATGTGTATTAAACCACACATTTAAATTACTATGTTTAAAAAAAATGTTTACTTGTATTTTTAGTCGTATTTATGAGGCCTATCATAATGGAGACGGAATAAACAAACAGCGCTACAACATAAGTTGGTGTACTTAGATGTTAATTTACTCTATTTCAAAAGGAAAAAATGTAACGGCTGAATTTTGAGAAACTGCCCGTCAAACTTGGTGAATTTTTTACCGTACCTTTTTATACTACCTAGGCCTAGCATTAGGCCTGGATAGGGTTTTCTGTTATCCGGCCTATGCTTAGAAAAGCATGGTGGTCCATTCTCTTTCGATTAGTGGGTTCTATTGTAGAGTTAAAAAGTAAAATTATTTAAATTTCTTTATGTTTAAAATCAGAAAATCTGGTCCTATTATCTTTACAAATTCAAAAAATAAAAATGGCATCTTGATTTACAAATTGATCGAAAACATAAATTACAACACATAAACTGGATAAAACTATACAGGAGTCCTCTTGTTTGTCATGCTTTTTATTTACAAAATCCAAATATAAAATGATATACGGCTTTTAAGAAATTATATGATTGTTAGATGCCACCATTTATTTACAGGTTTTCATTTATCATTTATTTTATTAAGAAAATTATGATCCCTCAAGAGTATGAGCAAATATTAATTCGTCGCTCACATCACGAACTAACACAATCAAAGTAGATTCGTGAAATCACAGTAGCGCGTCAAAACGAGCGCGTATTGGTTGTCAAGCAATTTTGTATTCTTTACCACACAAAAAGTCCTTAACAACAACAGCGCGTATTTTGACGCGCTTTTTTTATTTTACGAACTAACACAATTGAATTTAATTGTGTTAGTTCGTGATGTGAGCGACAAATTGGTAAAAAGAATATAACATACAGATTAAAAAAAAGTGTTGCTTAAGGAAATCAGGAGACAACACAAGTATTACCCAGCTAGTCAATTCTGTTAGTTTGAAATCATCAAAATGTCAGGCAATCCTGTAATAATATCCCAACAAAATTTAAATTTGGAACACCGAGGAGCAAACATTTTATTTTAGCATAGTGAAAACGGGTCAGAAATTTGTGAATGTTTGTTTGATCACTTTAGGAATGTTCTAGTAGGGCCTAAGTATTTTTCAATTAACTCCCACGTTTGGGGTTTTCTGTTTTACTTGTGTAATTGTCCGTTAAGTATTGATTTCCTGCGCACTAACACGAGTGAGTTGGCATTAAATGAATTGCCGTATACCCTAACTTCTTTCAGCTATCTTTTCATTTAATTTTGTTCACTGTAACTAGGACACTAGTAATGGCAATTCTGACGATAATATTAAGAAAATACCGAATTTAAGCTTACAAACTGATTCGCAACTTCATAACTTTCTCTGTTATTTTCAAAGTGAGATATTTCTAAAGCAAACTCACTGGCAGCTGAGTATATAACCAATGTTATTTTTTTTTCGAAGACAGAAATAAACATTAGAGTCATGCTTGTCAGTTAAAGTCGCTGTTAATATATAAAATAAAAACAAAATATTTAGATATGATTCTATAATACGTGTTCGTAGTTGGTATTTCTAAATGAAATACTCACCTGCAAATGAACATCTAAGCAATGTAATGATACCAAACAATGAGAGAAACGTACGATACATATTTGTCAGTTAAAAATATACGCAATGCCTAATCGCTGTTAATATAATAATAATTGCCCGTTAAGTATTGATTTCCTGCGCACTAACACGAGTGAGTTGGCATTTAAATGAATTGCCGTATACCCTAACTTCTTTCAGCTATCTATTGCATTTAATTTTTGTTCACTGTAACTAGGACGTAATTGTGACGATAATATTAAGAAAATACCGAATTTAAGCTTACACAATGATTCGCAACTCATAGCTTTCTCTGTTATTTTCAAAGTGAGATATTTCTAAAGCAAACTCACTGGCAGCTGAATATATAACCAATGTTATTTTTTTCGAAGACAGAAATAAACATTAGAGTCATGCTTGCCAGTTAAAGTCGCTGTTAACATATAAAATAAAAACAAAATATTTAGATATGATCTATTCTATAATTATACGTGTTCGTAGTTGGAATTCCTAAATGAAATACTCACCTGCAAATGAACATCTAAGCAATGTAATTATGCCAAACAATGAGAGAAACGTACGATACATATTTGTCGGTTAATAATATACGCAATGCCTAATCGCTGTTAATATAATGATAAGAACAAAGCAAACATGTATGTTTATAGACTCACTAAACCTGGTCAATAATTATTTGTTTCTGTATACTTGCAGTCTATAGAAAGATTTTAATTTTTTTGGACAATACGTAGGCCTGTATATTGATATATGTGCTCGTTCAATAAACGCAGTTTACAATTATTCCTATAAAAATATATCTATTAATACACTTACGGTTTAAAACAAATGCACAATTACTATGCACCAGCTTATAGAAACAGAAGTAGATCAACAATTAGAGGAGTAGGAATAATGATCAGTAAGAAAGCAAGCGAGTACTGTATTAGTAAACATAGCACAGATTTTAAGAGGATTCTAGTGGCAAATTTCTAACTAGACTACCTACTCATTAGAAACAAGTGGAGAAAAAGTGTAAGAGATGCAGAGGCCTATAACACATTTGCAAGCATGGGGGTCAAATCACAGAATAGTGACAGCAAAGTCCAGACTAAGTCTACGGAAAGCTAAGACGGTTAAGAAAAGGAAACCACTAGATTGGAGTCTTTTGAGAAAAACAAGGATCTGCAAAAGCGATATTCAATAGAGGTGAAAAATAGATGTACTATTTCAAAAACAGAATAAGTGAAAGAGAAAGTAGGAATAGAGGAACAAACTAGACATTTCCAAATTAAAAAAAATAATCAAAAATAATAGGGAGGTAGCTGAGAAGTTGATTCCTGTCAAGAGAAACTTTATAGGAAGACCAGGTATAAACCATGAAGTATGCACAGCAAGAGATAAATTGAATAATGTGTATGAAGAATATCAACAAAGCCATAGAGATGATGATAAAAGACAAAAGTATAAGCAAAGAAAAGAAGAATCTTAAAGATGCTTACGAAGATGTATTTGAGAAGGATTTTAGAGAAAAAGTAAAAAGGGTTGAGGATGCACATGTAAATTGCAAACATAAAGAAAGCTGAAGACTTATAAACGAAGCGTCTGAAAGAAGAGCATCGAAGAAAAGTAAAATACAAGGAGGTACCAAGACAGAAAGGCTTAACAATTATTGGTATAGTCACTTCCAAAAGCTGTTGGGAAATCCGCCGCAAGTAGATACTGATGATGCAGAAATTCATTAAATATTTGAAGAATTGGACATACTAGATGGAAATTTCACCTTAGATAATATCAAGAAGTAAAGATATCTATACCCGACGGGAAGAGTTGCGGAGAAAATAACATACCAGCAGAGGTGGTACTGGAATACTGCGAGCTAGATGAAATCATACTAGACTTTTAAATGGGGAAGCACCTGAGCAATGGTCAATATCAAATACTGTGTCGATACCCAAATACGGAGATCTCAGTAAAGTTGAAAACTATAGAGCAGGAGTGGTGCCTGCGGAAGGGCCGGTAGGGTGGGGGAGAGCTGGCCCCCCTTCGTCGGGGAGAAAAAGCACAATTCGTCGTGGAGAAAAAAAAATTATATGTATTTTGTACATATTAGTAGACTCTAAAATCTAAAAATTTCCGGGGGCTTCTTCCCCCTGAACCACTTTCTAAATCTTTTAATCGAAGATCGACCACGCCCACTTTGCTTTCGTCGGGGAAATCTCACCTCTCGTCGGGGGCATCGGTTCCACCGTCGGGGACCTCGCCCCCCCCCCCCCGTCGGGCAAATCCTGGCAACACCTTTGCTATAGAGGGATCAGTTTGGATTAAATAGTTGCAAAGGTATACAGCAAGAAGTTACTAAAGAGGATAAGACCAGTGATAAACGATCTACTTAGGAACAATCAAAATGGATTTAGACCGGGAAGCGAAATTTTTTTTTCCTGGACGTTTGAGGCAGTGGAGAATGGTGGCGCTATAGATTCAACATATCACCTTCCTGATTCGGCAGTAAATCATGAATATTTATTGTCAGAGCGGTTTCTATACAGGGGGGAGAGAAAGGATGTAAGTCTTGATTTGAAACTACTGATAGTAGAACTTAATGAAGAGGAGTAGATTATTTCATAGAATTGGAGATGCGCAGCTCCGAAAAGCTTCCTTCTTTGTTAAGTCGCTATTAATGAGGTTTAAGTAGATGAAATTTGCAGATGTGGTGAGACGTCAGCTAGGTAGATAAGGTATTGTGGAGCAAGGACAGTAAATGTTTTGGATGTCATGATGAAAACGATTTTGTATTCAATCATTGTGGACACAGGCAGCGAATAAAGGTACATAAGTGTATTATATACTGTGAGTTATGTGAGCAAACATTTTTGTGTTGGTGGAGATTTGTGCACGTTGGTGTAATTTACACGGGAAGGCAAAGCCAAAGTGATTTACAATAGTCAACTTTTTACTGAAAGAACAGAAAGCATTATTTTCTTCTGTTTTCTTGCAAGAGGATCCTATTTGTAAATCATTATGAGATTCCTCTTATTTTCTTAAGATGATAATCGATTGAGTGACATGTGCTTGAGATATGCTCTGTAAAACTTCTTGGTTTTGTTGAAAACAACTAAAATAGTCATTAAATTGGTGACTTAGTTGAATCTGCATTAAACAATGTATATGACATTAAGGGTCGAGTCGGCAAGATCACACTTTGAACGGATTATAATAATTTCAGTTGCTGAGTCAATATTAAGCTGAAACTTACAGTAAGCCATGGCTTTAATAATAGACATATCGATGGATTTAATAGAAGTAACACATGTACTAGTACTATACAAATTTCCATTCCAAAGGTTGTGAGAAGAAAACAATCTGGTTTAATGTTAACTTAATTGTTGAAAAGGCGTCAAAATATAATAAATAAAGTAAATAAATGAGAAAAATATTGTCAAAAGATCATCAAGATTATTATCATTATTACCATTTTTCCTATTTTGCCGGAGGCCGTCTTAAAGTTTAATGGTATTTCCACTAAATTCCGCTTATATGCTAAGACACGTGCGTTTGTGATAAACATGTGCGACACGTGCGTTTGTGATAAACATGTGCGTATTCCTGTCACCGGCGCAAAATAGTGAGTTACCCTCTTGATCGTCTGCTGCTAATTTGTCCTCCAAAGTATGTTAAAATTAATGTTTCCTCTACTACTATATTTTAATATGCATTTTGGGCCCTAGATCTTGTGTGGTAACAAATAGACCAAAAAAATAAAATAAAACACATTTTTCGCTGTATTCATAAATGAAATTTGTGCAATTTTCAATAAAAGGAGACAGCCTCTGCGGAATGGCATTACTGTTAAGCTTTTCTATAAAATTTTATGTGACAAAAAACTGTGATATGTACTTATTTTGTAATATCACAGCTGTAATATGAGATCATCATGCCCAAATATGGGCACATCACGGAGCTTAAGATAATATATTTGAGTAAAGGATACTTACCGGTTGATGAAAATCTAAGCAATGTAATGGTAACAAATACTGAGATAAACGTTCTAATCATAATAATGGTCAGTTATTATGACATAACACTTAGTCGTTGTTAATATAAAACGTTATGTTTTTTAACGTTGTCAATAGACTTTTCAATTCGATCAGTACCGGTAATTGCGTGTTCATACATTTTAAATATTGATCTGTAGTATTGAATTCATATTGGTTCAATTATTTCAATAGACCTCCGCATAAGCGGGCATAATTAATTATTCATTGTTGTGTTCGATTCGTTATAATTAGTTAAAATTTAAATTGTTTGTGGACGCACGGCGGACAGCGAGATAATTGTCAGTCTAGTAGACATGTAACGGATACATGATGCCTTATTCCGCCTAGCTTGCATGTGAAGGTTAGGCCTATTTGAGAATTCGAGCGAACAGACTCATTACGTTAAGTTTGTCTGTCATCTAATTTTTAAAAACATGTTTATTTTACTTTATTTAAATAATAAATCTTGTATCTCTTAGTTACTCAAGGCTAAATAAGGCATAAGCAGAGAAAGCTGCGGAATTAATGGATTGAAAAATAACGATCTTATGTAAATGTAAAGGTAAAGTAAGAGAATAACTCATAAATTGCAGCGTCGTTGTGCTGAATTGCGTATGGGTGAGATTCCTAAACAGGCACTTATAGTAGCTTTATGTTCATTTTCAAATAATTCCAAAATGACAGGAACTGAAATGAACCATAGCATCGGGGTACCCTACTCTTCAGAAAAATGCAATGGTACTTTAGAGTGCAAAAAGGCTAGATGTGTACACTGGACCTCCATTTGAAGTTCTTATCCGAGACGACTTGGTTCTACCAACTGAACCCTAGGCGAGGAGAGGCTCGAACCAGCACCAATATTAAGGCTGTAGTTAGCGGCGCCCCTGCGTTACCGCATGGCCACTCGACTCGCCAAAATGTGAGAGTAGTGAGTTTCTTCAATAAATGTTTAATTGAATGAATATATTTTGACCCCAACAATGCTTTCCTTGGGGATCTACTTGAAAACATTTGTGAAAGCAGGATCCAATTTCATATTTATATATCGTCTAATTCCGTTTCTGATAAAATATATATAAAAAAATAAAGAAAAAAAAAACACAAAAAAAACAAAAAAACAAAACTGGGATTTTAAAAATTG